GGGTTTAGGGTCACCCTAAACCCTAAACCGTGGGCTTTGGCTTTGGCGTGCTTTTTGTTGCCCGCTTTAGTGTGCTGTAGGGTTAGGGCGGTGAGGGTGCTTCAGGGTTCGTTAAGAGCTTAGGTCCTTTGGTTTTAACTGATCTTGGAGTTTACGGCCTTATTTTTCCCTCTTGCATTGTATAGGGCCAAAGGGCTGACATTTATGCCTCGAAGGCTCAGGATGTGGAACCCCGAGGATGTGAGGTACCTACGTGGTACTAAACCCTTTTGCGGAAGGCTTCTGTCGCGTTGTACTAAACCAAAAACCCTAAACACAGCTCCCTAGATCCCGAGCCCATCCCAAACCTTAAGGCCCTCAAAAGACTAAAAGCTACAAAGTCAGTAAATCGACCTAGGAGGTAAGCTCCTCCGCCCTCAGCAGCCCTACACCCCAAGCCCTGAACCCTAAACACCCCCAAAACCCAAACAAATCTGAAACCTTACGGTTTCGGGTTTAGGGGTTTAAGGTTCTCTCAACCACCCCTGCACCCCTAATTGACGTCTCGCCTTTCTGGTACTGGATCTTCTGAAAGAGCCACATCACCCAGGGCCATTTTCGGCCTCGGAAGCCGGTGCAAGCTTATGGGGTTCAGAGTTTAGGGTTTAATGTAGGGGCCTTAATGTAGGGTTTTGGGGCCCATTATACGATGGCTACAAATATATGGAGTTTCAAATTAAGGTTCAGAGTTTCGGGTTATGGGGTTCCACATTCAGGTTCAGAGTTTCGGGTTATGGAGTTTCAAATTAAGGTTCAGAGTTTGGGGTTATGGGGCTTTACATTAAGGTTCAGAGTTTCGGCTTTAGGATTAAACTATGATTTCCTCCGACTCTCTTACTCGCACAAGGCAGGCAAGGCTCCACACGATCCAAGATTGCTTAGCTGTTCGCTTTGGGGTTCAAGCTTTAGGGTCTTTGGACCATGCATCCGAAATCCAACACTCCCGATCGTTGGGCCCCAACCTCTGTGCAGCAAAAGGCCACCAGCATGTCAACATACGCACCTTCTTGTTCGAATGTGACTTGCGAAAGTATATAGTATACTCTACCTCTACCTGTTGCTTTGACAAGGACTAAGCAGGAATACAACTAGTCACTAATAACTCCCTTATACTACACTAACAAAACCCTTGCAGGAACCCTAATGCCAAAACAAGGCCAAGTCCAAGCCCCTCACCGCCGGCGCAGGCGCTCAGAGTTGCCGCGTGGCTGACCACTGTCGGTTGAAGGACGGTCTTTGGTCCTGCCACGGAGGTTTATCGGGTTTAGGCTTGTCGGGTTTAGGCGTTTCGGCTTTAGACCGGCGCACTCGCTCAAGGCAGGCGCGGATCCACGCAAGTCTCATAGCACCAGCTTTTCGGCTTTAAGGTGTTTATGGTGTCGGATTCAAGGCTACGCAGCTGAGGGTAGGATTGCGCGCTCATGACTAGGAGGATGTTTAAGCCATGGTCCCTTTAAGCGGGCAAGTACACCAATTATATAACAGCAAAACCGCCGATGTGTTTAGGACTTGGGTTTCGAGGGGTTCGGGGGTTCTTCTTGCAATTTAAGGTGCGGTAAGGCGCAAGGCTTTGTAGCGTTCTGTCAAGTTCATTTTTGGAGGGGCTCCGCCATTGCGGGGTTTGGGGTTTGGGACTAGGAAGTAGAGATGCGGGCTCAACTTTCCTTTCTTGTTGATGACGTGAAGTCTTGAAGTCAGCAGCCCTCCATAGAATACTACAAACCCTGAAGCCTGCACACTTTACTCTGGGCGCTTCGTGGCGCTTGCGGTTTGCTCCGGCTTACATAGAGGTCCAATTCTGGTGGTGAGCGGGTGCTACAATCCAGACTGGCTGAAGCCGCGCAATAGTACTCAACAGTAAGAGTAATAGTGATGATGATGACAAGAATGACAGCAACAATAAGATTAATGCACCTACAATAACAACAAGAATGAAACTATCATGATACCAATAAGCACAGGTAACAATAACGATGGGAATAACAATATTAAACGCAATGACACTAATAAGACCAATACGAACACTTATCATACAACAATGAGAAATTTTGAAGAAATTAATATGGGTAGTTTTCTAAATGAGGGTCCCTTTTGGGGTCCTTTTTAGAAGGGTGCCGTACTATATCGGGGACCCGAAAAGGGACCCTAATCTAGATAACTACCCATATCACAGGTGCCGGCCTTGCTCCGACGGTGTGCCTCGCTTTCGCGGTGTTCGCCTTCGCAGCCCACTTTACAAAGCTTGTATCCTGCAATCCTAAGTCCAAGCACAGTGCCCTAAACCCTAAACTCCTACATCACATGCCGGGGCTTCAAGTTTAGCCGGCGGCTGATGGACTTTGAGCCGACTCTGCGTGCCAACCTTTCAATAATCCTCACGGGAAAAGGGTGCCGTTCCGTCCTGACCGCTGACGCAGCAAACCCTTCTGCGCTTGACACATGGAATGGCCCATAATTTCTGAAACTTGAGCTGAGAACTATCCACATGCTACAGGGCTTGTGTTGCTAGCACCGAGAACTATGCAAGTTATATAGGGCTTTTGTTGCAAGCGCCGAGACCTATCCATGTGATACAGGACCTTTATGCCTAGCACCCCAGCAGTAAGACCCCAAATAGATGCTCACCCAAAAACCCATCAGGCACCCAAGCTGCTGATAGGACGGTCTGAACAACTGCTCAGGGTGCCTTAGTCTAAGTGTACAAGATCATGCCCCAGACCCCTATTCTATTCACTGAGGTTGTACTGCACCTAACTCTAAACCCTAAACCACACGAATCTCCAGAACAAAACATGATGCAGGAGCCCTGTTTTGCTCATACAGGCCGCTGCAGTGCGCCCTTAAAAGACGAAGGGCCTTACAGTACAAGCCCAGAAGTTGGAAACCCAATAGCCGCGGCCTGACGTCCGATGCCTTCTGCAGCTTTACGGATAGAAATAGGATGCCCACACCCTCCTATGCAACATTCTGCGAAAGTATACATCAGAATCCAAGGCCACTGCCGCAGCTCAAAAAGCAATCCGAGGCTATTCTGCCAGAGATTTGCCTGCGCTCACTGCGGAGGAGTAGGCACCATCTTATAATAGTAATAATAATAGTAGTGGTAGCATGAGGAATAGGAGTAGTAGCAGCAGCAGTAGCAGTAGCAGTAGCAGTAGCAGTAGCCGTAGCAGTAGCAGTAGCAGCAGCAGCAGCAGCAGCAGCAGCAGCAGCAGCAGCAGCAGCAGGAGGAGCAGGAGCAGGAGCAGGAGCAGGAGCAGGAGCAGGAGCAGGAGCAGGAGCAGGAGCAGGAGCAGCAGCAGTAGCAGTAGCACTAGGAGAAGGACTAGCCGTAGCAGTAGTAGTTTTA